GGTTCATGGGGTCACGAAGAGTCGGACACAACTTAACGACTAAACAACAACAACAACAAAGAGACCTTCTTAGTCCTTCAGATGTGGACCAACCCAGCCAATGCAAAGGATCCATCCTCAGAGTGAACAGTTGTGATTATGTCCACAGCCAATCAGCCTGCAAAATTTTCTTGGACACACATAAACAAACAAAAGAGGTGTGGGGGGGGGGTTGTTTTTTTTAAATTTCTTAGCGGCAGAGCAGAACAGAGAATGAGAGATTCCAGCAGGGACAGGCTTTGGAAAACATGCCAGAAACTGAGATTTGTGTGCATGTATGAGAGTGTGCAAGATAATGGATTCTATTAATGTTGGGTTTAGATGCAGGCTTGCATGTGGACACTCAGCAAATCTATGGCAGATCTCTAACTGGATTCTGAATCCACCAGGTAGGCACTACTGACTTTTTTCCCTATGCTTATAAATCTCAACAGAGGAATATTCACCTATTCATGTAGCTGGAACCCCTGGCATTGTATAGGGTTTGGTAGTTAAAAATAAAATTCATAAGTTCAAGGCACTGGGTTTTTTGTGTTTTAAGAGCATTCTTGGTGTAACTATTGTTTTGCATGCTGAAAACAATATACTAATATGAAAATAGGCTTCTCAGCATAGTGACCAGAACAGGATCTTTCTTGTTGTGAGAATATATTTTCCACTAGAATTGTTCTGCTTTTTCTCTGTGTTTAGATGAGATTTAATATATATTTTATCTAGTCAAGGGCTTATCCTTGCTATTCAATTGCCCTATTGCCCAAGCAGACAAGCAATCATTTCTGGAGGGCAGGAACAGATAATGTTTTTTTGTACACACCCCTTCCTTTATCAAATTTGACCTCTGGATATGTTTTCAGCCGCAGTTTTAAAATATTCATTTCCCCCTTTATGTTACCTTGAGCACTTCTGCATATGCTGGCTTGTGCATTTTATTTATTACAGTCTAACCCCACCATTTTATTGGTTACTTTTCAGAAGAAGAAATGTCCCCTTAAATAAGTTCATGGTTACCCTGATCTCTAATAGCTTTGAGAATTTCCTTTACCAGGAATTGTTTTAATTACTATTTTTCTTTCCCTGAGCTAGCTATCTTTCCCTGTGCTTTTTTGTAAAGTCCCGCAGTATACTATTTCATCCTTCTTCCACACTTGAGATAGAAAGATTTCAACCCAACTCCCAAATAGCCCACCAAGGGAAAAGCAGATAACTCGGAGAAAGAAAAAGAATAATTAAAAACAAAACACAACCACAATGACACATTTTTGCCAAGGTTTGAATCACCAATCTTCTGTTCACAAGACAAGTGTTATAATCGTTATGGAGTGTGAATGTGCCCTGAGAATGCCCTGGAACTCCTACACAGCTTGTTACAGGTCCTTTAAGTGCTATTTAAGAGCTGTAACATGTTTTAAGGCTATCATGCTGTTTTTCTCAAAGGAGGTAGATCTTTTCTCTTGTTAAAAGTTGGAGTTTTGAACAGATATATTATTATCCCCCCATTTTGCCTGCTTTTCTGCCACAACCTTGCCTCTTTTTATGACTTTATCCCCTTTTTGAAATAGTCCTCTGCTGTCTCCCCCTCAAAATTGCCATTTTCAGCCACTGAAATATTAACCAGGCCCATACATTGATTGACCTCTGCATCCCAACATATTTAAAGAAACTAGTTTCCAATGAATATATTCAAACTTTTATTTCTGATAATCTTATACTTTATTACACAGACATTCAAGAAACAACTTGATCCTGCTCCTCCTCCTCCTCCAACTTTTCAACGTCAAGCACTTATTAAAATAGCAATTTTATATGTACCTAGCACATTACATACCTTGCCAGTTTTATTTACTAATTTAGAGGAATAAATAAGTTTTTATTGTACAAGACAATGGCATGGGTAGAAATTCGAAAGCTGCCTTCTGAGATGTATGCTTTCCACAAATGTTGGAGAGAAAAGCCATGGTCAAGGTATGTTTAATATCCAATTATTTTGCACTAAACTGAGATCTTTCCCTACGTGTTTAGCACAGATTCAGGATTCAGAACTGCATTAACTGAAGAAAGGAGACAATTTCCTTCCCTCTTGATGCAAGAGCACAGGGACCTCCAATGAAATAGTAGGAAGGGGATTCAAGGCAACAAAAATGCTCTGATTTCATTACACAACGGGTCCATAATTCTTGTGGTAGTGGCTACTGGTTGTTGATGTCCTGAATGGGAGATCAGACAAATTAATGGAGAAGGGGTGAATCAGGAACTGTTATCCTTGGCTCTTCAATAAGGTCTATATGCAAGAGTTGTCTCAGATGGGAGGAGCCTTCTTTGTGACCTTCCCAAGGTCACACTTGATGATGGGAATCAAGAGGCCATAGAATAAAGTAAATTGTCCTGTGTGGCATCCGGACAAGATTAAAAATGGATTCGACTTCTTCTGTGTTCTTCATTTCAATCCTGAATTTTTCCAATGTCTGGGGGCCGAGGGGTGGGAAGCAAGAAATACACAGAGTTTTCATGGCCTCACAGTTCAGATTGTAGAGACCATTGTTTATGCTAGCTGGAAATTCTAGAAGTTCTTACACTAAAGTATCTAGAAGGCAACCAGTTAGTTGAAGAAGGCTCCTGTAAATATTTTATTTAAATTAATATAATATGTCAACCCTCTCTGTACTTCACATGTAAATACTGTCGTCTTTCACTGAGATAAAACTTGGGAAGAAACTATTTCTACATGTAAGAAGAGAGAAGGTGTATCTTCACAGCAACAATTAGCCATAATATGTGGTGCAACTGAAATGACAAATCATGGTTCTCACCAACTTCTAAACTGGTAGCTAAGGACTCTCCTACTCCCTCTCTCCCACATACACACAAGACGAAAGGCCAGGACCTCCCCCTGTAATTCAATTTTGGGTCTTCCATAATGGGGCAGTGGTAGGACGGGTCTCACATTGACCATGAACAGTTCCAACTCCATCTCAGCAATCCTACAGCCAAGACACAGATGTGGCCCAAATCCAAAGTTCAGTCCTCTGAAACAGCTGGAATCTCCAGTATTCAACCACCTTTCTGGGTTAAATTGCTGAGGTTTCTTTAAAAATCTGGGATCCTGGTACATTGAATGAATACCTACGTGGACTAAGGTCTGTGAAGAAAAGGTGGAGAAAAAGGGTCAATCAGGTTTGAATCATGCCTCCTTCATTTCTGATCTTTGGGGCTACAACAATAATATAACTATTTTATTTATGTTGTTTCAGATCCATTACATATCTTAATGGAATCATATTTTGCAAAGACTCTTAAAAATCAGTAGGAGTTAAATTAGTCAAGACAGGCTTACATTCCATTTAGTTCAATGTTTTGATTCGGTTGGCAGAAC